GGGGGGGGGGGGGGGGGGGCAGTATCACATCCTAGCTGCACTTAACCCCCCCACCCCCGGGGGAAAGGACCCCAGTACCCATCAGACAGGAGGCTGGATGGGCTCATGATCTAGTAACTCATGATTATCCTCTTCAATACTGCAAGCGTCTTTTACGGGAACACGAACCAGGCTTTATTGAGCACATCTTACAGTTCGGTAAAGCAGCGTTCACATATGAAGATATCTTCAACAGTCACAACACCCATGTGTACCTCAGGAACAACTCCTCCTAGAGAATTAATTCTTTTATGAAGATATCCGTCTTCTGGGTTATTGCGCTGTGTAGTCTATTCATCGCCCTGATGACGGAGGCAGTATGACCTCTGAAACGTTGGTTAACATCGACCAGACTACACAGCGCAACAACCCAGAAGACAGAAATCTTCATACTGAATGCCCTGATGATGGAGGCAGTATGACCTTTGAAACGTTGGTGAACATCGACCAGACTACACAGCGCAACAACCCAGAAGACAGAAATCTTCATACTCAATGCCCTGATGATGGAGGCAGTATGACCTCTGAAACATTGGTTAACATCAACCAGACTACACAGCGCAATAACCCAGAAGACGGATATCTTCATACTCACCGCTGTGAGAACCTCAAGTCTTACATAATTCTTTTATGTTTTTATTTTGCTCTGAGGTTTTCAACCTGCTCCTGTGCCATTTTTCCCACACCTGTATATATATGTCAATAAATATGGAATTTCTTGCAATTCTGATAACCTAAAAAAAAAATGATGTGACACAAATCCCACAGACTTAGAGACTTACTTCAGAGTATCTTCAACATCCGATTGTTCTTCCTTAGGCTCACCACTCCGTTGTTCATGTTCATCAGTAAAGAAGTCTGGAACAGAGAAAAAAAAACATGTATAATATACAGGGGCGATTTCGGTGACAATTTTCAGCAAAAAATGTTGATACAACATTGGTCCTACTTCCAACCTGTTGAGGTTTAAAATACACCTAGGGTATTAATCAGATAAAATTATTTGTCTACTTTACAAGAAGTGTTCAAAATGTGCGCTACCAATTTCAATGTACAGCCTTGCTCATTCCAAACAAGAGTTTACTGTCTGCTAAACCATTCATGTCGCATCCTGAGCCGGAAGAAACTGATATATTTTCACAAAACTGAAGCAAATTTTTAATTAATTTCCTACATTTAACACAGATTTTATTTTATTTCTGAGATATTTCTTATAATACACATCAAAAGGATATGAACACTATTTTAAAACATGGAAGTTTTATAATATTAGACTTTGTTATTACAGACTCGGTTATAACGTCATCCAAGGGACTGGAGAAATTACGTTGTTATAGATGAGTGTCATACTAACTGATGAAGGGATTAAGACAAATTTAAAGAAATATATGGGATAATTTTAAACAGCACTAAAATTCACTTTAAATGTAAACTAAATCTTATTTTCCACATGGTTTAAATTGTGGAATTGCGTAAAAATAAATTCCTGGCACACATCAGCTCTCTTCCTTCTGGTCTCAATTTTTTTATCACATTAAAGTCATCCTCCGCACTAAACATTTTTGTTTTCTTAACAACTTCAGCCAATCTGCCTGCAAATAGGTTATTCCATGTATGTCTTTGTAAGAGAGGCAGAAGAGGGTTCGCTTTTATGGAGATTTAATAAGTACCAATCAATATTATAATCAAGGTCGCTACCAGATGACATAGCACACTATCCCAAAAGACAGTTATCTTTATAAAGTTTCTTCTGGCAAAATCTAGAGCATGGAGGTATTTATTCATGACAACAGGGTATTGTTTGAAAGTTCTATAATGGCTGTTTAGTATACAAGGCAAACAGTTTTCGACACGGAGCTGAAGGGCTCCATACTGCACTTTCCTGTACTAAGAATATGCATTATTATAAGTGTCTGCAGCTCTTTTTTCAACCCTTTATCTCATGCTAGTAAGATACGATGCTAGCAACAAATCAGTATTTCCCTTTGATAAACCTAAACAAATTAATTCGGTTATTAATACATAATAAAGAACTCAGAAAAATATAAATTTCAATACCACAATTTTTCCTCTTCCCAATCTCTTTTCTCAACATATTCAGCATTCTGTAAACATAATTTAAAATTTATTTATAACTTTGGCTTTTGAATATAAGCCTATTGAATGATGACTATTAACCAATGTTTCAGCAAATACTGCAGTTGCAATCTTCAGGGTGAATGTGTAGTGGGGCAAGTTCTAAAAGTCTTATACTGGGCAGGCATTAGATTTGACGGTGCTGATTAGCAGAGCACAGGAGTGGGCTGCTAGCCAATGGAATATCTTCCAGGTGGCAACTGTAATATTTACCACAGCATTGGTTAATACTTGACATTCAACAGGCTCACACCCAAAAGTCAAAGTGATATGCTGAACTAGAGCCATCAAACCTAAGGCAAGAATCATTTAAAAATTAGTTTACTTTGCTTACATTTCTTCCGTTATGTCACAGTTACCTTCTGGGAACTCTTAACAGACAGAATAAAAGTATTTAACTTCTAAAACAAAATCATCTTTATACCAGCAGGTGTTAATGTCTTGTAGAGAACTATTTCAGAAACTTAATATACTTCCCACACAGCAAGAGAAATTGGAAGTGCCAAAAACCACCAAAAAAACAGTTTACTTATCACTTTCTAGATCCTGCCGAGGTCACATTCATTGCTGCGACTCCATATATGAGAATTTGGCCAAAATTAGTGAATATAATCATGTCTGTAAATTTTGTATGCACTTCTGTCAGATCATGTATTCACTGTAATCATGTATCACATTATAAAGGATGTAAACACATGCATGTTGTTTAAGACATGAAAGTTGCCTAAAGTATTCTAATGGATACTAATATTGTTTTAGTGACACATATTTTTTGAGTAAATTGTTGTATGCGATTCAGTCCATTAGTGTACTTTGTTCTTGATAGATGTTCTGTAACTGGAGAATTTGCACTTTCTAGTGTTATGTATTGTCCTGACTTGTACACTCTAATTCACATTGTCTGTGGAATGCTTCCATACTGACGTACCTATCCGTCTAAATCAAAATCCCTATAAAGATCACAAAATGCCGAACATAACCATAACATATGCCGTTTAGAGCATGCAACATCTAATAAGTCTGTACGTAGCTTTGTCATAATTACCAAAGAATTTGTCTGCACCATCATTATTATCCAAACTTGATGATTGTACGAAATTCACATACATCGGCGCTTTGCACTCGAATTTATCCATTCCTTGCCAAAAAAAGGTTACAATGATAACACAATAACTACGTCTCAAATGCTGGACAAGGTCCGACCACAAACAGTTAGACGATTTGAATCTAACCGACTTCGTTTTACATCAACGAGTATCGAGCATAGAGTAACATCTACCAGAGAAAAAACAAAGAGCATATGTCTGTGATCCATACGGAAAATAGAACGTCACAGGCACAGTCATGGGTCACAGATATATAACCTCAGATCTCGTTTATTATGCAAATGAATTGCGATTGAGAGAATGAGTACTTCGTCTCATCGCATAGAAAATATGCCTGGACATATACAGATTTCAGAACCATACAAAATATAAACAGCTGCGCTCTTCCTCAGTGCTTGAGTCCGGAGTTAATATCTCGGCCCTCAAACCGGCTATCCTAGTACTTTTTTAAGTCCCTCCAAGCGAATGCCGGAATTGTACCTTAATTACATTAAGCTACGGCCGCTTCTTTCCATGTTCCTTTCAAATTCATTCGATCCTACAGACGCTGAGCCATTGACAGCGCTGAGAAATTAACTCAAAAGCACCTCACAGCTGCTAATATTTTCATAACATTTAACACTAGGCAGTTTCTTTAATATTAATAAGATTTGAAACTTACACGGCAACTGAATGCAACAAGGTCTTCTGGGACGATCAGCTGTATGAGAACGGCATTGCAATCAGTGTTTCAAAGGCTCTGCCTGCGTCATCATAGTTCCTATTACTGTTGTGATGAGTGGCATGATTGCAATCGGAGACTGCCTCCACCTCCATTAACCCTAATGATGGAAGCAGAAAAAGTCTCCGAAACATTTGATTACTGTGTCATTCTTACATGAGTGATCATCTTAGAAGACCTCACATTGCATTTCATTAAAATACATCTCTTCATTCTAATAACAAGCACTTTTGCCACCTGATTACCAGCTTGAGGACATAATTGACATGCTAAACAAACATATGTTAACCTCACTGCTGGCTTACATTTCGGAACTGACAAAGAAAGGAAATGTTTCCTTTCTAGACAAACAAACATATCTGTCACAATAAATCAAGTGCAATGTACATGGTCTTTGTAAATGAGAGAATCAAGACAAAATTGAAAAGCATACTATTGGTCCAAGCCAAGACCACTGTCTGGTAAAGCCTGCTTATCATCACCACTGTTGTTTGTCAATAGGCAGCAGGGTGACCAACTCACAAAATACTCCAAGAACTGTGTGTGGGTGACCTGCGTTAAGTATTGCAGAATGTATGTGCTATCCTGAAGGACATGAAATATGGAAAACACATTTTGGCAGCACAAGTGAAGAGAGACAGAGAAAGCAAAGTAGTTATAATAAGCAGTGTTCGTGCACAGGAGGGACACATTTGCATCAGTACACAATACCAAGGCTATGGAGAGGTAAACAGGACTTACAAATCCCATCTGTCAGAAAAGACATTTTTCATTGATGCTGAAAGGAGGAGGCTGGCAGAGGTCGCGAGGGCAGACTCTTTCCGAGCACTCGGATAGCCCTGTTTCCCCGGTGATATCTCACTGGATGCTTGGAGAACAACTTTGCATTCATAATAAACCTGGACCAAAATAACTTTGCATGCTTCTTTATTTGACAATTTTCAGCCCTTCACACAGCAGGAAGCAGATTCTCCCAGACGCCAAGCATTAACTTTATGAAAGCAGCAAGTATGCCCCCCCCCAAATCCAAGCTGTTAAGCACAGCTAAAAACCACATTATGAAACCTGAAAATTCCTAGTGTCTCTCTTTTATCTCCATATAAACTCTTAAGTTTAGATTAAAGTGAGATAATCTCCTTCTTTTATTAGCTGCAGTTTTTCTCCAAAGTTCTCCTTGAAAATGTCTTCTCCATAAATCTTGATTAGCACTTTTATGAAGTGTCACCCTGTCATAACCTCATTGTTCACTTAAGAAAAATATCAAAATAACCACAAAAAACAATTTTTTTTTTAAAATCAAACACTATTGGCAGGTAAGCTACATAATTCATACAGCAGAGTCCAAGCAAACATTAGAACTTTTATTGAACGGAGAAAACATTTTTTTGACATAAATACGTCTATACGGAAAGGATCATTCGGCAAAAAAGCGAAAGGAAAACGTGTAACGAAAATGTGTAAGATCCGTATCGACAAATCGATAACAACGGTTACTGCAGTCAACAAGCCGCTCTCGTTATTGCGGAAAGAGCCGAGCTGTGAATCGCTTGTAGAAGAAGTGCGTCGTAGACTAGATAATTTTGACATTACATTTACTTACATTACATTACATTCAGCTACTTTTCATTGTATTTATTGCTTAAATATAATTTAAATACAGAGACGTATTTACATCAGATTCTCCGCAACCGTGGTTCCGCTGTCAATTTTTTTTATATTCCTCCAGCATGCTCCTAGTGAGACCAGAGCATTCTCTACTGATACTCATTCACCCCAATTTAATATGTTAATAAGTCAACACTTCATTATGAGTAACAGTGCGTGTACCACATAAAGACAAGGTCAGACTTTACAATGAACATTTTATTATAAACACTGCAGTCAACAGTTATGTTTATTTTAACTATCTTTATTGAATAAATATTGATCGTAGACAGGATTTAACAACAAATACAATACAACTACAATAAAATCTTGTACTTTTCACATACTGTGCTTACTAAAACAGTAAAAAGTAAGAAATATCAAATATTAATAATCAACTACAAACATGTTTAAAAGTACATGATAAAAATACTCTTGTATCATGAAGACCATACGAAATGCAACTGTTCTATGACAGCGGACATAAAGACATCGAAACGCACTCCTCAGATTAATCCCTTATTGCATCGCTGAATCCTGATGCTGGATGATCACTTAATTTCAATTCCTTTTTTCACGCGTTAAGTCGTTCAGAGGGCAGAGCGTGCAGCTCTATCAAACAGTTATAAAATTTTGATATTTTCATGCCACTGCAGGCGTGGAGCTTAGGCAGTAGATTGGCCCATACTGCAGGTAAAAAATGACAGTATTTGGGGGAAAAAGAAAACTTTTCAGGTCGCAATAACAATACTGAATACAGAGGAAAAGCCACATTTATTATCACGCATATTGTCTTTACTTGAATAGGTTTAAGTATTACTGCAGTTTACTGTAATTAATTATAATATATTAAGTTCATCGACGTCCATGGGTTGTGGGTGGAGGACAAAGTCTCCAGATGTGGCTGCAAATATGCTGGACAAGAAGTTGCTGACACCTGACAAGTGGATTTGGGGGCTACATCTCCTCACCGTAAAAAATCCACCTCGTTACACAGGAATACATACAAAATTTTAGGCAGAAATCCTGAACGGAAGGGATCGTTTCGAAGATGTTGGCATGCGTGTCAGGGTAACATTAAATTGGATCTTAAAAAAAATGATGAGGGGACAACTGGATTAATTCGGCTCAGGATATGGACTACGACATTCTTTTGTAAACATTGTAATAAACATTCAAATTCCATTCAATGAGGTTTCTTGACTAGCTTGGAGCTGTTAGCTCCCAAGTGACTCTGTTCCATGTATTTCCTTAGTTACATTAAAGTACAATGCAAGTGACAAATATTGTTACGACACAATACAGTCGTACAATATTCCAGTTTTTCTTTCCATTGAACTTCACTGATACAAGATGGCTCATGCACCTTTAATTGGCAAGCCAGGTTATTGGACTTCAACCATTTTAAAGCTGGAATTTTGTGCAACACAAAATAATGGCTTGTAAATTTTTTTAATATGATTCAAAATAAAAATGTCTATAGTACGACCGAAAGACTAAAAAAATCAGAGCAGCATGTATAATGATGACGCATCTGACAAGTACCACTGATGTTGTTTCATTGTCCTCCTTCTATTACTTCAAACAATTTACTTTAAATTGACCAGATTTTTTAAAAGCAAAAAGCACGGAAAAGAATAAATGTATGCTTATTTGTACATCACGCAATTTACGCAGTTTTTTCGTAAAAATTTCATAATAAAAACACGATAAAGAAAATGCAAGCAACTAAACTGGGCAAGAGCACATGTAAAGAAGTAGAATTGATGCCACATTCAGAAGTATCAGTTGCCAGTCACGTAAAGGGTTTCAGAATTAAACATCCCGACAATTTTCTGAAGAATTTCCCAATGCAAAACGATAAAGTCGGCACGATTTAGAAGCAGGTTAAGCAACGTACATTTTTCGGATTTTTAGGACAATTGGACCTTTTTTTTTTTAAAACAAGAAAAAATGAATGTGAGATGAGAGATTTTCATAGCAGTGAACATTCGGATCGTAGTCTTCTGGGTCATGACACCGTACAGTCATCGTCAAGATAGAGGCAACAGGTTTATCTGAAACGTTTGTAACTGACTACAAGATTGCATGGAGTCACAACCCAAAAGACCACAATTAATTTAAAATACCAAGTATTTCGTTATCATAATTTACGCATATGTAGTACAGTCAAACCTTGATACAATGCCCCTTTATGAACGGTCACCATCACATTGTACTCTGGAAGCCTTGCAACAGAAATTACCTACGCAATTTCAAAGGGAATCACCTGGTAAAATGAGACTCCCGCCAGTTACCACATTTCAACATCTGTGGTAATTCGTATGTACCATTAAGCATTATAATCAAATCACACAAAGTGTAAAAGGCAACACTCCAAATTCACGCAGTTATAGTAAATATACCTGCTTCTGGGCAGCGCAATGACTTGAAAATGGAAGCAGTACCCATAATAAACTGCATACACTGACAGGTAACATTCCAAGATATCTGGTACATCAGAACCAAGAATAAACAGCTCTATTAAAGTGAAAGTCAGCAAAATTTTTTTGCCAACTATCTCTCTCTTTCATGGGGCAAAGCATCGGTCTGTATCGCGTTGAAGATATTCTGGAAGGGGGTTTAAATTCACAGTCATTCCCTTTTTAAAATAAGTACTAGTGGCGGACAAAGCGTGGCACTGTAATGGCGTGTAGATATAATAAGAATAAATTATTGTGACCATAAAATATGTATAAGTGAGAAGAAAAAGTTGGAACAAAAAAAAATATTAATTCTGATAAAATACTGACTGTAATCACTTTAGTGCCAAGATAAGTTACATTAACACACTATTCCAGCATTTATTACATCATTTCTGTCACGTGCCATTTTCAATTGCTAAATGCCGCCTCATCATGGCGGCAGACGCAAATGGCAACACTTGTAACAATTACGCTGTATACCTGAGATGACACAGAGTGTAGCGATTATTTTTCCTTGGTATTTGTACATTCATCAACTTTTCAAATAAAGTATCATTGGAAATTGGCACTAAAAGGGTTAATATTATACACATTACAGTGTTACAAATGGTCAGACTTCACAATCTCACGGTGACAAGAACGAAGAAGCCCGTCTTTTGATACGCCGCGCAATCAATTCTGACAAGCGCAAACCACGTGAATCCAGACACAGTATCTTTCATCTTTACGATCCGTCTCCATATCTGATATACGAGTTTATCTTAGACTGAGGCAGGGCGACACAGATATTAAGAACCTGGAGATAACTGGGCCACATTTTCAAGCTAATATAAAGTAAATCTGTCCCACTGCACGCCACGTAGGTCGCTTGGGGGGAGAGCCGGTATAGCTCCTACTAGTTCTTAACCTCGGCACTAGATGGGGTGAGTGGTCAGCTTCACGCCTCCCCAGCTGTGTTTTACACCCAGAAAAGGACCCCAATACCCACTGGGTGGGACCCAGAGCAGGCCTGGACGCAGAGGGTAGAGGTAAAATCCTCTGCCCCCGTCGGGGATCGAACCCCGGTCGTCCAGCCCGTAGCTAGTCACTGTACTGACTGAGCTACCCTGGTTATTAAAAATGGAAAAAGTCGGATACGAAACGTGACAAGGCATCAGTCGCTACTTTTAAATAGAAATACAGAATGTAAAAGACAGTCAATGCAAACGGATATAGATACAAGACTTGGACAAAAACACAAAGAATCATGTGATACGTCATGTAAATTGTAACGAACGGATCTCACGAGCGTCGATGTCAACTCTTAAGTTCCATTTCTATGGCTTCTATGCTGATCTATCGTCCCTATTTACAGAGTCTGTTCTTTGTTACATAACTTAATTAAGTTATTATTCCCACAGGTCCTGATGGGTAAGGATTAAGCATTTGAGTGTCTTCGGACGAATGAAACTTTTTTTTCTATATGTTTCTGAAGGAAAATCTAATACAAAGTGAACGCAGCAATTTCCCGCGAAAACTTTCGACAGAGTCTTACATATTTCACCAGTTTTTGTCCGAAAGTATTGACAGATCTCATCATTCGATAAGCAATCGTTGAATGTCATAGAAAAAAGAATATTATCCCGAAACTGAAGGACATCTCTCTTCATCTGCAGTAATTACTTTCAAATATGTTTGTTCAGGATTTTACGTAATCCTTTCTTATAAATATAAACAGCAGTTTGTAGATGTGTTGAAATCCGAAATGCAATATGTGGTTAAAAAGTCTAGAAAAATAAGTTATAAGATAGTGTAATTGCGTCATATTGTGAATATTCTAACCATTATTTATTTTAATCCGTCTTATCACAATATTTAAAATTTCTTATAATTAAGATAATAAAATATCATTGATGTTCCATATCGATTGATCGATTTACATTTTGGAACATCCTTTACACAACATGTTTCAGTTTTTATAAAACCATCATCAGGTGTAAAAGATTTACGAACTTAAAACTCAAATATGATTCCATTTGGTGATGTTTCATGCCATTTGTTTTTCAATTTTGAGCGAGGTGTTGTTTTTTCTTAAATTTTATAAGATGTACATATCGGTCCTAGATGTAGGAGTGATTGTTCCGATATGTCCAGAAGTACGACTGTCATTACTAATATTACGGAAGGCAAAATAAATTACTGTCACGGATAAATGAATTTTAAAGCGCACACAGGTGTCCACCGACTACAATCAAAGCCTCTTACCTCCTCGGATAGTCTCAGCATCCGCTTGATATTGCTGGGTAGCGACTCGAGCAATCTTTTAACTGGCGGAGACATGAGATCTTCGTCCAGATGACAGGAGTCTAGTGATCCAGTTAGGATGCTGAATACCAGACCCACAATAATTGTGGTGAGGAAGCCAAGCAGTGAATACCACAAGTACGATAACTTGTACAGTTCTAACCACCACCTGAACAAAAAAGCAAGACACGTCAGCCTTCGGATGATCTCTCCGAAGTTCACGTTAGCATCGTTGCATCTGTTGAAGATGGAGGTTCTTATTCCAGCTCCCGCCGACTGTGAAGTGCGGTCAGTGATAACGCTCGGCCGCACACGGCTCGACGGACAGCCAGTCTCCTGCAGGAGTTCAGCTGGGAGGTGTTTGATCATTCACCCTACAGCCCGGACCTCGTTCCCAGTGATTTCCATCTTTTCCTACACCTCAAGAAATTCCTGTCCTGTCAGCGTCAGCGTTTTGAGAATGACAGAGAGGCGGAGATGGTTGTCACACAGTGGTTCCAATCCCAGGCGGCCGACTTCTACGACACAGGTATTCAAAAGTTGGTCCTACGGTATGACAAATGTCTCAATTCCGGTGGCGAATATGTTGAAAAATAGCTGGACACTTGCTGTATCTGTTGCAATAAATATTTCCATGAAATTGTGTTTTGTTTCTGTAAACGGCCCTAGGGAAACTTACTTTGAGTACGCGCCTCGTATTATCAGCTTCAGCATGGAAACGGCTTACGTATCACATCACTTGCAGAATAAATTCAGTGTTTCTAATTGCTCTGGGGAAGATCCAAAATGATACCGTGAGGAGCCCGTTTGATACGTACGTAATAATGAACAAACACAAATCATCTTTGACATCTGTATTACATAAAACAGTTTCACGGTTGCTTGAGCCCAATTTAAACAAGAGTGGACATTCCACAAATTTTAAAATAACTGTAACCTGTGCCACAGCTTATTTGTTTCAGTGCTGTACTTCTGCAACAGCATGTATTGAAGGAAAATAGAAAATTGTTGAAAAAATTAAAAAAAGCTGGTAAGACGCATACATAGAAAACAAATCATTCCCCACTGATTTTCACACTACAAACACAAAAAAAAAAAAAAAAACATAAAATGACAAGAAAAATTACATAAATAAATTCAAAAACTGGAAATCCACTTTAGTAAAACACATATTTATTCCATAGCATATTCTGGGCCCCACAGTGAATTATTTAATACATAAATACTAAACCACTTTAGAGTCTTCTGGTTTGCCTTGCCATGTAGAATGGTAGAAGGGCGATGAGTCACCCTGATGATGGAGGCAGCAGAATACACGGTCCTACAACCCAGACGACAGCCATCTTCACACTGGATGTCAAGAGAACATCAAAACCTACTACCATATCAGTAACGACACACTTACCTTGTTTCCTGGATTTGGACGTCTGGGAGTGTTGTATAAGGAACTTCAGTCACATTTTCACACGCACAACCTGATACCGTGGTAAACTTTTCTTCGTACACGATTACCCCACTAGCCAGTGCAATCTGCGTGCCAATTCCGATCCACACAACCAAACCCGTTGCTATGGCAGCCCCACACAATGCACCCTGCAATCAGAACACACCCCTTCATGAATAAGAAATCATGCCATTTGGAATTAAGACCATTTTTCTCATTTTTAAAAATGTTAATAAACATAATTAGATTCAGTTAGGTTATCAGGCAATTTACAGAGATAAAATTAACAACACATGTAAGAAAGTCTGAATGTTTTCTTAGTTACTACTGAAAACTTCTAAATAAACAAAGACGATAAAATAACGGCTTGTTTTACTGAAATTACATTGGACATTGTCATAAATGATAGTCAATGTTATTAAAAGTATCTACACTACACACGTAATACACAAATTATGAATGTACTTGCACAGTCTTCTTATTCATGGTTGTTATTGTTGTTTTGATTGTAATAATATAATAATAAAATTTATTATGGGGTGGTTCAGCAAGAGATAACATGTCGCATGCCCAGTACGCTATAAGGAAAATGCTGAACGCTAAATTTAACAAGGCCAATGATTTTACTTCTGTGTTCGAGAAAATGAAATGCAGTTATTTGTGTTCAAAACTCTAATTTCTGGCAAATATTCAGATCTTACCTTAGAATTTGACCAAGGGAAGAACATTCCAAGCGAAAACAACCCAAGTGTTATTCCTCCAACCATTCCATTGAAACTGAGAGCTATCTGAAATAATAACATATCTGTGCTAAGTGGCGGTATTCTATAAAAGATTCAAATTTTTATGATTGTGAGAATATCATATTATTAGCCTGTCCACTGTTAATACTAAAATTAAATCCGTGGCGTAGCAGCTCCAGAGAGCCAAAGCCGACTAGCTTGACTGCTGGCCTCACGTTCACACGCCTAAGCAGAGGTGAACGATCATCCAACCAGATACAGGGTGACGTGTAGTCAGCACGACGAACCCCCAGCCATTGCTAGTTTTCCTGACCGGATTACGCTACTCATTGTAGCTCCCCAATTTCCTCACGATGCTGGGTTGCCACCGGTCCCATACACCGGTCGAAAGCTCACGAGAAAATTTCTTCTCCCCCGAGACTCGAATCAGCGCGCATTCCGTATCGCCGGTCCGAAGCATGATGCCTCAGACCGGACGGCTACGGCGCGGGACTACTGTTAATATTACATTTTATAAATTACAGTGCATCCAAACTGTGGTGCGTCATCTGCTGCAGTTATATTTCTATGAACGTTGAGGCTAAAATCACAATTTTTCCCTCTACCACCCAATCGGGGCCATCACTTCAATTACGGGGATTAATTCATTTCTAAAACAGGATAAATAAACCGCAGATTGAACGGTTGTATGGTAACTTAAGAGGTTATAGGTACAAAGGAAGATGTAAAAATGGGCACAAATGGTTAATTATTAGACAGGAGTAAAATATTTCGACCTCTTACAAGGTACAATTCCGTCATTTACTGGGAAGACCTGAGGATAACAACAAAAGGTTCAGTGATGAATGTTAGTCCCCCAGAATTTTTTTTTTTTTTGTAAGATACACGTTAGAAGTTTTGTCTCTAAGTTGTCCAGCTTGATTGCTGGTTCCCGTACCTGGAGCACGCTCCCCATCTGCTCCACGACAAACACGAGCCCGAAGCTGAGCAGCCCAAAGATGAAGGAAATCCATTTTCCTATTTTCGCTCCCTGCTGCTCGGGCAATTCCCATTTGAGTGCTCCGTGGATAAAGTCTTTCACCATCACAGCTGTCAGGGAGTTCAGAGCTGAAGCCACTGTGCTGAAATTTGCATACTGATGACAAACACATTATACATGCCCATTTACACCTATTTGCGTGCGCGCGTGCACACACTACACTTAGGCCTGTACTGCCTCATCGCTGTTGGCAGAATGCATTTTTTGGAGGAATTTTT